CCCCCCCCCCCCCCCCCCCCCCTTCCTGCTGTGAAAAGTATTATCTAGACATACTGCGATTAGAGCACTCCTTCATGAGTGCCATTATTCGTGCTTTGCTCACTTTAATTGTCACACTTCCTGGGTGGTGGTCAACCATTTCTGAATTGCTCGTAGAACCGTGTTGCTGCTACATATTTTTTTTGGTGTAAAGCGCAGACACGTAACATAAGACAACACAGTTGCGTTGGAATTTGCAAGCACGTAAACGACCCAAGAATTGCCTCGACAGAAGTGGTAGTACTTGGATGAGCAATTGACGAATAATTTTATTCTGAAACCATGAAAAGGGTGATCCATCAACACAGCTGATTCTTAGGAGTGCGGCAGAAATGACTGCATGCTTTCAGCAGACATCTTATGGCTTTTAATAATGTTTTAGTATACTGGGCAGGTGGGGTTCTACAGCCTTAGCTTAATGTATCTTTCGTCAAACTTTGCCGACTTTCTTACTTCGAAGCATAGGGTGTTTAACTTGTGTATTTGCAATTAAAAGGCTTTTTCTGTCGAATTGTGGAAGATTGATTTGTGTGTCAGATGGAGTTCAGTGAATCTTCTCTAAAGATTGAGGTAAAAGAAAAATTCTCTATTTTGACTATGAAAAAAGGCGTACTCCATTTCATTGTATTCTTCCCTGAGATTCTTTGAACTCTTTCCATTGCTCTCGCGTTCAGCTCTATCAAGCGCCTTTGGTATTCCTGCTAACAAGATTCGAAGTTTAATACTAGGGTGTTCGGAATGTTTCAAGAAAATTTTGCCTTTCAGCTTCTAAAGCTTGTTGCTCGCAAACGCGCTTAAGAAGGAGTGTAGATTCGATAGCAGAGAAGGTGGCATTGTTGATAGATCAGTTCTGTAGCTGATCGGTGTTGGTAACTGATGGGCAGCCGAGCACCCTCTCCTTCACCTACCATAGGAGGCGCGATCGCTTCTCCTGAGATGAGATCTGCTTCCACGAAGTTTGTTGGAGCCGACGTAAACTCTCCTCAGACACCGACACTGTTCTGGCCCTCCGTCAGAGAAATCCTCAAATTTTTAGGAAATGGAAAAGACGACCTCTACTTCCCAACCCACCATCCACGCCGTTTTACGCAGAGTCGCTTCCCAAGCTGAACTTTTCGCAAATATCGCACAAATCTTGACAGTGCGGAGCGTAAAGTGCTAGACAGTGTTTGTCAGAAGCTCCTCGACCTTAAGCGAATGACAACATCAACTGACTTCACTACTGCTCAGAATAAAAATTAGGTGTCATACAAAAATCCACACGAGAAATTGCAATGCCTACTAACGGACGTAAGGCCACAGCCCGCTATAAAGCGAGGCGCTCACTCCGAAAAGGTCATGAGCTCATTCTTCCTCTGTTCAACCGGGCGTTTTACTACGAGAGCCTACCAGAGCGCAGTGCGGTAAACGTTTTGTTACCGACAGAGAGAAACAGAGAGAAATAGTGTTTCGAGCACTATTTCACGTTGATCACAGAAATTTTTGATTGTGATGGATGTGCTCGGCCGCGAGGACGACGACGGACAAGCTGGAAAGACTGGTACACCTAACTACTCCGCTCTCCACATATTTACCTGACTTCATCTATATATACAGATCATTTCTCCGCTTATTCTTTATTCGTCGATAGTACGGTACAATGGATACGTTCTGACGAGATACCTCCTGCCCCTTCTACAGGAGCAGCGGCTTTTATACATACAGAATTCTAGTTCTTACAACATTCCTAGGCGAATACAATAAGATAACAGACTCGAACATAAACATTTGCCAGAGCTTGAGAGAATTCAAACGAGTGACTCACTGATAGATAACGATTAACATACATTCAAAAATAACTAGGAGTATGGAGAAGAATAGATTATTGAGATTGGGAAATTCTCTGTACTCCCCGGCGACCTGAGCCAGGCCTATATGACTTGCGGGTGAAGCCTCGGTGCGATGAGGTATGATGACGATCTCTTTTCGACGACCTCTTCTGGCTGCCACGGCGCGGCGACGTTGACCTCTGATATAGATGGCTGGACGGCGTTATAAAGATTCTGCTCGACGTCTGCTGTATCGTGGTGTCTTTTCCTCCCTCCTTTCTGGTCTACTCATACAGGGTCATCTTCAGATCATTCTTTCTCTTTTTGAGTGCCATTTCTTCATCTAGGAGCTCGTACTTCTTTTCCCTCATGGCGTAGGTATTGGATTCGTTTGTCTTGTGGTCTTTTCTTCTTAACTCTTCTATGTTGTGGCCGAGAGCGAATATGTCGTGCTTGATTCTGCGTAGATATTTGCCCACCTTGATTCCAGGATTTCTTTGTCTTCTTTGTTCTCCTTGATCTCGCCTGCTTCAGATTCTTCTTTTCTGAGCTTTCTGGATTTTTTCTCCTTCTCTCCTTCCGGCTCCGGGCTGAGGTCGTTGTTGATGCAAAGAATGTCTTTGAATCGGATTGATTCCTCAATCACCTGCCTCCTCACGTCTTTTTGGCTGATCCTGAGTGGCCTTCGTCCGATTTCTTCAACTGCAAATCGATCCTTCGAAGCATAGACGCGATATCTGGCATTTGATCTAGCTTCTTCTGCAGTGCTTCGAATCGTTGGGTGATCTCGGTTCGGAAGGCGGCCAGACGTGTCGACACCTCTCTGACCTCGTTCATTACGGCGTTGCTGCTGACCCTTTCGACTTCGGTTCTGCATCGGTCTGTGTCTCTTTGAAAATATCATCCATTTTCATGAGGATACGGTTCCTCGCGTTATCCATTTGTTCTTCGAGGCTGGACTGCATCTCGGTTGAACTCGTCATGACTTGCTTCAGCAGGTCATCCACGTGTTCTAGTTTGATGACCAGATTCGTCGGGGCTACAGTCTGTTTGACGGATTCGCGATGGTCCGCTAGGTTCTTCTCAATCTTTCCATACGAGTACCGACCTTCTGCAGGTGGTTGTTCCAGTTGCTCGCTTCTTGTCTTTCCAACACGGTGATCTCCTTCCGGGTTTCTCGCTCGTAGAAGTCCTTCCAGAGATCGTAGCTGGAGCTGGAAGGGGTTCCCCCCGTCTTCACGAGTTCGTTTCGCTACTGAAGTCGACTCAATAGACTAGACTTGCTTTTCTTCTTGATTCTTTGCTGCCATTTTGTTTTGGACTTCTTCCGTCCTCGCGTTGGGAGTCGATTCTTCTCCTTACGGCGTGGGCTGACGGCGAAAGACGATCACCAGAGTTAACTGAGAGCTCAGTCCTGTGCATCGTGCTTTTATACGGAACCCTTACAGGTGAGAGTCAAGCTGAGATGGCGTCGTAGATAGTGTTGAGAAAAACCATGATCCTGTCTTGTGAAGCTGCGATGGAGTCGACGATGGTGTTATGAAATAACATAGGTTCTGAGAGGCTGTCTCTCTCTCGGTCTTTCTCTTCGTTGTTTCTTTATTGTGATGCCTTGGCTCTATGCTAAGTTTGATTTCATGTAAGTCATTATTTGTCGGACGTTTGAATCTCAGAAACTCAGGAATAGTATGGTCGGAATCCGAGTTGTTTGATATGAGCGTTCTGATTTCGATAGGATTTTTGTCGCCGACGTAGCGCTTTTTCGAAGGTTCTGATGGCGATTTGGAACGGTACCGAGTAGTAATTTGGACGCGAAACGTAAAGTCGATATCAGTATTCGTAATCCACACGCCCATAGGGAGATGTATCCTAGCACGAGGGCCAGCACAAACCATGCGACGGTGAACATGACGGTTCTGTAACTGGAAATGATAGTATCCAGTATGTGTCCAAGGTCAGGAAGCACTATTCCTTCTTGCACTGTAGTCTCTCCTTTTGCGATGCGTCGCATTGACTCTCGAATGGTTGTGACCCAATTTAGGATTCCTATAACTTCGAATTCTGTTGTCGTGGAGCCACACAATACCGTGCATCTCAGTTTTACTCTTGCGACTGTAGAGCTGAATCTGAATTCGGCTTTCTCTCCCTTCTCTGTGCATCGCGTTGAACTCTGGTACTCTTCACATCGTACAGTGGCTTTCGTGTGCTCTGCATGCTTGTACAAGTCAACTCTGTACTGCTCCCTGTTTGCAGTGTAGCATACCGTGGCTATTGCATTGGAAATTTTGCAGAGTGCATTCGATCAGGAAGGATGATATGGGGAATCAGAAGGTTCGTGACTGTTATGTTGCCGATCTAAGAAGCGATGAGCTGGGAATGTTATTTGTTGAAGTGAGATAGTGAGTGCGAGCCCCCGAGGAATAACAAATCTTAGCGGCATGGGAACGTATGGCAGGAATGTAATGTCATGAAAACAACATGTGCTAGGGCGTACTGAGCGATAAGATGATTATGCAGATCACCAGTAAGTCACGCGACAAAAATTAACTATCCTACCCAAAGGAAAGCACTGAAAGAAGTTGGAAAACGGTAGAGTTTTGAGGAGTAATAAAAGTTCAAAGAATATAAAGTCTTTGAACCATGTAAAGCGATGGACGTGCGATTGAGCGGCTTCTCAAAAAATAAAACGTACTCAAAATCGACCCCTTATCGAAGTAAGAATTCCACCCTACGCACTCAAGTATCAATAGGCGCTCTGCTTTGGATGCGCCAGGCGCAGGGCGTCCGAGTGCGTAGGGCGGGGGGGAGGGGCGCACAAAGAGCGGCGAGCCTCTATTATGCTCGCGCTGCCGCTCCTCATGGTATCGCCTGAAAGAGGATAGTCATAAACACAACTGATCGACTAACTCAAGTTCGCGAACAATAGTACTACACAATGGGGGTAATATGTGACTAAAATAAGGGCTACTCCCCAAGAAGGGCCCTCGCAATCAACTAACTAGGCTGAAAGTACTGGAACTTGAGCATAAGAGGGTGAACTAAAGAAAGGAAAGTATTTACTGCACGAACTATTCTAGATGGGCGGCCAACCGGCCGAAGAAGTAACTAAAACATTATACATGTAATGGACCTAAATACGGTTTGCTAACCATTGATTTTTGTTTTTTGTTTTTTTTTTCCTTTATAAGGTATACCTGTTTAAAACTACGACTTGAGCGCACTTGTGGACCATCAACGTCGCAAAACTTCACACTATGAATTAAACTTAACATCACGACATTTAACGTCCCGAACAACACATCAACTTAGGAGGCCTCAAAACATTTCGATACTGCATCACTTCGACAGTACGACACTTCGGCGGCGACAACAACTACAACAGCTACTACTACTGTCCACTTGGGTGCACCCCACGCAACGACCTGAACTCATAACATCTTGCAACTCTGGCGGGACGTATTCTACTTTTGAGCTTCACTTGTACAACCCTCGGGCCCAGAACTTCACTTTGAGCTCAAACGACTGTTTAGACCCTAGTCAAGGGTGCGCGCGATTCGAATTCTCGAGTGGACAAAGAATACCGTATTCCTTTTGACCGCTTCTGGAAAGTTGTTGACGTTCCGGCGGCAGTTCTAAGGCCAGCTGCGCAAGATGAACTTTACACACTCCCTGCAAAAAAGAACGGCTGCTGGGAACGGCTTGAATCCCCAGAGTCAACCGGAGAGGGCGGGGAAAACCTCAACGCAAACACCCAGAAGAAACCTAACGAGCGGTCGACTCGGAAAGGCTCGAACTATCAAAACGTGGAGAAGATTTACCCTGACCCTGTTCTATTCTAAGCGAGGGGTGGACCACTCGCTGCTACCAGTAAGCGAGCGCGCCCAGCGGAAGGCGCGCACGTTGAGGTCACCTTATCCTAACACCTTTTAAGTTATAAGAGTTTATCTTTATAACACAAATATAACATGGGCCAATAAGAGAAGCAATAAAGATAACAAGATGCACATAACACGAAAGAGACTGATGACCGGTAGACAGGTATTGTATCTCTTCTGGAGAGAACAGGGAATTGCTCCAGATTTAGAAACGGACGTTAGCTGCAGCACTCGGTCCCTGTAGCCGGTAGACTGCTCAAGCTTCCTCGTCGTCGCTAAGCCACGCCCTTAAAGTAGAAGCTGAGTCATCAGGGAAACATCCACAGAATCCTCATCATATGCTCACGTCCCTTACAATGCTCACGTCCCTTACAGATCCCTCAGTTGTTGGGACTGTTGGTTGAAGGTTGAACAATTTACTATTGCGGTTCTCCTTCGCTGTTGTCCACTCGTNCCTTAAAGTAGAAGCTGAGTCATCAGGGAAACATCCACAGAATCCTCATCATATGCTCACGTCCCTTACAATGCTCACGTCCCTTACAGATCCCTCTTGGGACTGTTGGTTGAAGGTTGAACAATTTACTATTGCGGTTCTCCTTCGCTGTTGTCCACTCGTACTTCTAATGCCACAGTTTCTTTCCACGATCGGCACCTGAGTATTTCAAAAATCTCGTCGTCATCGGGTTTTTGGAATATTCTATAGAAGAGACATCCGAAAACAGCCACATCCTGGTTCTCCACAACTCTCTACGCATCTCGTGATTCCTGGAAATGCCTTGTTTCAGTTCCGAGAGTTTCGTTGCTTCATTGACCTTTTCACATTTTCCGTCTGTACAGCCTCCCGAATGTGCGCACCGTTTCGCGTCTACCACGTTTCGCATGGTGTTTTTCCTGAAACCAAGGTTTTTTTCACATTTCATGGTGAGGCCTTTCCACGTGAGTCGATACTGAAGAAGAGTTGTTCCATTTCCTGTTACCCGTAAGTATGCTTCCTGATTGAACGTATTCAACTCGATCACATTTGTCGTGTCCACTTACCATTTTTGGACCTTTTCTTCCGAACACACTCTCGTCTTCAACGTGTAGATATCCGCATCTTAGCATGCTATTGCCGAGCTCACGGTTAGAATGAGAAACGTTGCTATCAAAGGTGCCTGCAGTAACGCTTCAAAATCCCTTCTTTGACGCTGGTTTCTTCCTCTCACTGCTCGGTGAGTCATTCTCATTGCGTGAAGAGCAAGTCTGAACATACCAATCACTATTTGGCTACTTAATCGGCATGGTTTCCCGATGACAAGTGGGACGTAACAGTGTGCAGGTTAGTGCTATTAAGAGGCATATGATCGCTATGGTTCTTGAAGTTCATTTCCACTGCTTCGGTAGTTCTCTCCAGCGGTTGTTTCAGACGGCTCGATTTTCGCCTGTTGGACCCCATGCACCATAACCACATTATTTCTCCGCTAATCCTTTATTCGCCGATGTTCCGGTTCAAAGGATACGTTTCGACGAGATTTACCTCCTCCCCCTTCTACAGGAGCAGCGGCTTTTATACATACAGAATTCTATTCGTACAATTCTCACAACATCCCTATAAGATAAGTGTTGAACATTAACATTTGCCAGAGCTTGAAAGAATTCAAACGAGTGACTCATTGACAGATAAGGATTAACATACATTCAAGAATAACTAGGAACAGAGAATGGAATTAAGGAATGGAAAATTCCCTATACTATATAACTGCCATACTTTCAGCAGCAGATAGGCTAGCTTTATAGGGAAGAAATTCAACAGTCATAAGAAAGTCAAGTAGGTTGTAAGTGAATGGATTGGTCGCACCTCTCTTCATTTTGAAAGAATGGCATCAGTGCCTTGTTGGTTGATGAAGAGACATCGTGGCTAGAAAAAGCCACTATCTTGAACGCTGACGTAAGTTATTGCTGTAGCTATTTCGTATTGAAAAACCCGATTGATTTTCCTCAAAACTTTCCGGACACCCTAATACCTGCTCCCAAGATGGGATGGGAATCTCTATAAAATGACCGTGAGCGTTGGAATACATAGGACGCTGTAACCATTTACCTACTTGTTCCTGGTAGTAGCGTCGAGTTTCCGCTCACAGTTGGTCTCTGAATCTTTGCAAACCACACATAATTTTACGAATCGCAAGCGGATTGATTGTTTGCGTAATGAGAACGATGGTCTCAAACTCTGGAAACCCAGCTTCAGACGAAACATACGAAAGCCTACCAAGATTTTTCCGTTGTTCAGGCATGATGTTTGATTATTGCGAGCTATGTCGTTCAGACCGGTTGAAACACTATAACGGATTTGCAGCATGGATTATTGCGTAATCTGCCCGAATGGAAAATAATAGGCTGTGCACAGAGAGGGTGTGCTTTACCAGCTTCAATGTTTGACATGTGACGCTTTCTATCCTACTTACATAATCGGCTGAGTGTATCTATTGGTGATTGTGTGTGTGACCGGAAACTCATAACTACTGTCCCCTTAGACCGAAAGCGTTCGAATTTGGTAGAAGTACAGGCGGCAGGCTAGGAACACTCATGGAGGGTGGAAGGATCAAACTCCAACTACAGGGTGACGGGGTGCGCGAAATGTTTGGGCGGAAATTCATAACTCTTATCCTTGTGCACCTAGAGCGTTCAAATTTCGTAGCAATACTGGCGGCAGGATTGGAACACTTGTGGTAGTTAGCAGTACCGGACTCCGTCCACAGTGGACGGGGTTTGAGCGAAAATTCTTAACGTCTCTCCTTGTGGATCTAGCGTTTAAATTTGGGTTGGTAGCAGGACCGGACTCCGCACACAGAGGGTGGAGCAGAGCGAAAATTCATAACCATTTTTTCCGTGCGCCTAGAACGTTCGAATTTATTAGGGGTACAGATGGTAGGATTGGAGGGATGAGGAACTAATGGTGACTGGCAGGACGCGAATCCGGGACAGGCGTACGTGAAAATTGGCAGTTTGGACCTGAGGCAATGTGGGAATGGAGATGAGAGGTGGATGACTCGACTTCGCCCACAGGACGCTGGACGTACGCGAAAATTACTAATTTTGACTCGGGCTCTCGAATTTTGGACGAGTGCAGGCGGCAGATTTAAGACACCGATGGAGGTAGTAGAAGGTAAGTAAACTGGATCGAGCCCACTGAGGCATAGTGGTGGGAGGATGTATGGCGGCGGATCAACTTCAACAACGGAGGAGAGCCCGGCGTTAGCCGAGCGATCCGACTGGTATTAGAAAAACTGGGGACTGACAAAACTTGTTAGATGTTTTATTCAGTTAGAAGTTCATCGGTCAGGTCAGAGTGTCCGTCGAGCGTGAGCACACTTTTCGGAGTCTTCGCTATAAATATCCTTGAATAAAAACAAAAAATAACAGAATACAAAAATTTAGCATTTTTCTTTGACGACATCATGTTCCATATAGTCTTCGAAGTCAAGTAGCCTGTTTTCACTGATGCAGTCTGAAAAGGAACCGACACAGACGTCTCACAACTCGGTATCTGGAGGCCTGTCAGAATACCTTACCTAGAATGTACTTCTCCACAACCACGGGCGGAGGAAGTTCCAGATCTGATGAGCAAAGTATTTCCAGGGTGTGATCGGAAGGGGCCACAACCACCGCACACTCGCATGGATCATTTGTTACCTGAATATTGAGACTACTGATCCAACCTGGACAATGATTCGATAAACACAATTGTACGCAGACAGAGTTCGTAACAAACCGCTCCTCCACTCTTTTCAATCATCCATTCGATGTCATTCTTAGGAGGGGAGCAACCGTCGCAAACGAAAATACTTCCCGTTCCGGAGAACAGGCGCCAGTTCTGCTCTCTTTTCTGGAAGAATAGGTTACCATAACATGTCCGAGAAAAGCTAGACATTGCCAGCTCGAATTGTAAAACTATCCTCTACCAAAACGGTGTTCTACTATGGAGCAAGATTAATTGCGACCTGTGTCCCGACGACTATCTCTACCTAGTCAAGAACCGCACATCCGAGGTACATTGCAACCCGCTATCTCGTTTCTTCTATATAATCCTTACTGAATATAAAGCGCTCGCGTATGTCTGTCATTCTGTCACAAAATTCGGTATGATCCGAAGCGCCTGCAGAATCAGTTAGGCTTGGGGTGCGGCCGTAAACCAAGATCTGCAGAGCACATATCCGTCAGCACCTCTGCCTGGGAAACACACACCCAAAATGTACGGTCGCTTGAGCAAATCTTCCTAGTTCGGTTTCGGAAAAGCCCAGACGCAGGAAGAAATGGCGAAGGTGAAGGTGTCCAAATTAGAATTAGACGAAGGAGATCCAGACATGGACAATACCTATAGGGTCGACCGTCGATCCCACAAAAGCCTGAAGACAAGAAAAAATTCTAGTAATAAGTAAAGCCTGACGAGCTGCGCGTGCCTGTACTGAGCAAAGCTCTTTCCACGAAGCGTGGGGAAACGTGCACTCAAAAGAAAGCCTTTTCTGAAGAATTTCATAACTTTGTTAAGGTCACCCTACGTCAAGCCGAGCGAAGCTTATATGAAAAGTTTAATTTTGTTCAAAAACCCTCTAAAATCAGTTAAAGCCTGTTGAAGTAAAGTCAAAATATTACAGTGACGGAACACGTGCTGAAAAGATCGGAGTGAGATCGAAAGTCGATAATTCTGTTCAAACTCCCATCGTTGTCACGCGATAGCATGCTTTGATTCAACTAGTAGATAATACTGGGTAGGCTCAATTCTATCGCTAAGATAACGGGGTCACGCCGCACTCGCTGCTCATTGCGATCGAGATTCACACCTTTTCCCGTGAGCATACAACGAAAAGTCCCTAGCAGAAATTCAGGAGCGGGATTTTCCTTCTGCGACTTAGGGTCTTTTTTGTTCCACTTGTTCAATTGCAGGCAGGCTTGTTCGTCATCTATCTTTCTTTTGTTTTTGAATTCACGAGTTTTTTATCTTTTCAATATAGCATATGTGATAAAAATGGAGTGTTTTCAATTGTTTGAAATACTGGAATTTGGCTTAACTCCTGCCTACACCCGAATCATTACCTCGGTGATATAATAGAACATCTCTCGAACACAGTGATGAGCCCTGACTGTTAACCTGACTCCCTGACTGACTGAGCGCTGTTCTGCTACTACTCGGACTCTTGTAGTGACACAGATATGAAGGCATCGTGGGAGCACCGCAAATGAGTGGGTACTGCACTACCAATCATCATTCGATTCGAGAATGAATGAGCATACTACGGGATATCATGCGGCGAGTAGGTCGGTGACCTAGAGCTGCACATATATAACAATAATTATGAATTAAGACCTTAAATAGAAATTATGACAGCTTTCGCTGTCTTGTTCAAAAGTGACACGATTGAAAGGAATAACTTCGGACAGAAAAGAAATAATTTGAAAGCACACTAACAACGCAATTGGACCGAAATTTTCGAGGCCAAATCAGGCAGCTATGGTGTCTTCGAAGAGACAAATCACCGGCGATTTGTACCCAGATCGTTTTTGTTTGCTCTTACCTTTGCTTGTCTACAATCTAATTTTCATCGAAAAGAGCGATACCTGCATTAAACTTTCCCATCGGTCGTAATGATATCGATCCAGAGGTATGAACTTATTCGCTTCAACACATGCATCGAGCTGCAATCATATATTTTCATCAATTATGCATCAACTATGTAAAGTCTCATCGCTTCCTATGACGACGATGTAACGATGATTTCCGCATTACCCATTTTGCCTTTACCACTGGAACACCAGAGATAACTGCTCGTAGAGTATTTAGAGTGCGATCCCCTTTCGCACTTATAACACAATATGTTCTGTCGTTGATTTTCGCCTGTACCTTCAGGCCCAATATAGAAGCATACGGTTGCAATTCTCTTTCTTCCCTTAACGAGCTCTTCACTCACATATGAAACAATTTTGCATTATCCTTCAAAAAGGACTCACTCTTTTGAAAATCCAGTGAGTACTATTCTATTTCTGATTTTCGCAACGTTAGGAACATTCTCTTTTCTGACAAAGTCCTCCGAAGTTGATGCTAATTGCAGATTATTGATTAGTGAAGATGCTGTCTCGACTAATGGACCAAAAACGCCACCTCAATCAAATAATCTCATTAATCTTCATGTGAGAGCTGAAATACTTAAGACACACCATGAGAAGGAATTCGAAAACCTAGTAGACCTCCCAATTCAGAGGAATTTTCTATAGCCCCCAAACACTTTCGTGTGGGAGAACCTCCGACTTCTATACAATCTTGTCGCGGCTTTCGCTGAAAAAACAAACTTGAAAAGTAGAATACCCAAAAAACCTGGGAATGGGAACCAAAGCAAGAGACGTGAATGGGGCAATTTGGAGGTAGAACTGTTAATAAGTGGCAAAAGGTAGGTCATTACCTTGGAAGCTGCATCGAACTGGCATCGTAGTTGAGTATTTTTCGAGCCTATAATGGAGGAACATGAAGAAAATTAAAAGACGACTAGTTGTAATGTCAAATAGTCAAGCATGTGTCTTAAAAAAAGTTTTGTGAAGGCCGAAGAAGAATTGACGCGTCAATGTTACGAGCTAGTGCAAGAATTTGTACATGATCTGTTTTAAAGTGTGATCTGCTAAAGGCACAGTTCACGACAATTTCGAGGTACCCGTTTTTATTCGATAAGCGGAAGTATAGAATGGGAATAGCTCATAGGTAATTAAGAAAGCGAGAAAATTCATCGATTACGAGAAAAATATGGCTCCTCAAAAGTAGGGAAATAGAGATTGGACGAGATTGCCATGAGGGAATAATACGGTAGGGGTATTCGGACGAGATTTCAGTTATTGCAGCCGCGCAAAGAGCTGACTACATCAAGCCAGGACTGTGAAGAACTGCCTTTCACGGTCGCTACTGGTCATCACAAGTTGTTTCAACTTCCTTGTGACACTCGGGTTCCCTTGTGTTCGGTGCAGCCTATATAATGCCGGTGAAACTCGTCCGAAGATACGCACGGGCCAATTTTGAGCCATTATAACTCCTTAATCAGGTCGTTTTCTGACCTAATAGTGTCATATATGGTATACGCGGCGGCCTCAAATTCATTCTGTGGGGGAATCTCGAAACCATTTTTATGTGAACTGTGCCTTTAAATAGGAACAACTGATAGTCACACTCATAGAATATTGGAAAGGGCAGGTAGACAGAGGTTTCCTAAGTTTAACAATATTGATTAACGGAATATGAAAGAATCTTCCTTCAACAGTGCACGCTTAGCGTTAGAAAAGAAAGTTAAGCTAATAAGGGTTGCGAAATGGAGAAAATCTATATAATACGTTCTAGCTGAGAACACTGAATATAGCCAAGACCTAAAGCCGCATCATGTGGGAGGATGCCAGTGCACCTCAATGATTTAACACTTTCACGGTAGTGACCCACCATAATGTACCGAGCCAAAGTCGGCATAATCCAATCTTTTACTGGACTTAGAAACCCGAGACAATTCCCAATGAAGACTGCGTAGGACCCCTAACGACGAAACAGGTACGATACAAATAGCGGTATGGCGAGGCATACAACTTTATAGCAAGGGACTAGAGTCTATTAGGTAGGACCAGCAAAAACAAGAGAATATCTCTCTAAACGACTAGCGTTTAATTCCACCCATCGCAATCGACAACCGTAGGTGTTGGCAACCAAGACCAACGCAAAAATTCCCAGGTAATTCATTCACCACATTGAGTGCTCTGTAGAAGGACGAATTCCTGCGAATGTTATCAAAGAATCGCCTGTGTTACGTAGAACTGGGAACACGTACGTTGAAACACGATCTTCTAAGTGTTGAAGGTTTGAATGGACACATATTGGAAGTGGTAGGACGAGAGTTACCTCTGAGTATTCTACAAGCTTAAACTAAGTCCACAAATGTAATATGTGTGCATAAGAGACTTCTCAAAGTGTACTTAACAGCGCTTCAAGAAGGCTCATATACACACAACATAAGAACAGGGTTATGGTTGGGTGCCGAATTATTCAAGACTTTCGTCTAGCCACCAAACTGAGGTCTTGTCTCGTCCTGGTGTATCACTGATTTTCAAGAAGCACTATTTTCTAAGGCTTCATCAGGTTCCAACAAGTATAGGTCCAAGTTAGCATTCCTGGAACACTTCAGACTACATCACACCCCTTTAATCCCGTGAAATGTGGATTGTGACTTTCCCTTCCTTTGACGAGTATCAGCTTTGGAGCTTGTTGGAACCGGTTCACTGAAAATATGACCGTCGAGAGAAACATTTCTACAAACGTCCCATTTTTCGTCACTTGTTACTGCTCGCTTCAATAATAGGTCGTCTTTGCAGATACTAACTAGCTGCATCAAGTGAATTCCCAGTAACCTCATGTGGCTCCTAAACAACTATTTTTTACTAGGTCAAGTTCCTCGATATTTCCGTTGACAGTTCCAATAGATGTATTGGCCTCACGAGTTCTCACATGGGTTACATGAAGGTTGGCTTCGGTCGATGCCAATGAATGATCATCAACCGTGCCCACCAATGAGCCCACCTTGGAGTAGAAAATGGCAAGAACGAAAATTTGTAGACCAGTTCTCCTATGTGCTCTGAGCTCTGCTGTCCTTACACATATCGTGAAAATCATTAGCAAAACTTTTGCCCCGATGAAAGTTAAAAACTAAAATGCATCGAAACTGCTCCATCTGACACTCTATGTGAGCCTCTACGTTCCAGGTGATCCTATGCAACAACACAATCAAAACTGGAACTAAATAAGGTCACACTTGAGGATGCTTTTCGACAAGACTGGGTGTCCCGCATAAGACACTTACCTTCAGATCCGTGATCAGATTCATATGTTTGAGACAATCTATAAGTTTATATACTATACAGTTATCTGAATTTTGGTAAGGCTTCAACTGGGGTTTTGAAGCCCAAAGCTCTTTGTAAGATAGGAGAAATTCAAATCTAGTTTTTCTTGCTCCATATGGTTAAATTTACTGGTGCATGCATGGGTAGTCAAAGTGGTATGACAGTAAAACGGCTATTCGTGCTTCCATCCCTCACGAGTATTCATGGGTTATGAGCTTCCAAGCGTTTGAATGCTGGCACGATGGTCCCTTTATTGACATCAATTCTGATTTTACTGACTGGATCCCGTGCATTTCAATGATTTTCTCGAATGGTAAAACCATATGGAATGAAGTAGAGCAAGATGCATCTTTGAGGACTTAGCATGCAAATTACCTTTATTTCCTTCGGAGACACTTTTATCAAGATTCTGCATGAGCCGTCCACATACTGCATTCTGCTCATCTACAAGGAGAGAACACAGCTTTAATGAGAAAGGAGGTGATTAAAAAAACATTCACCTCTCGTTGCGCTGGTTATTTGGCAAGCATCATTGGATGGGTCACGGTATTCCAGCGCAAAAGCACAATGGGTGCGTCGACGTAGGACCTTCCTCTTTATAGGAACCTAACAAGTGTGTAGAGTGACCAAACTGACATTCACGAAATAGAGTATAATATAGGAAGCAAAGAACCTTGTCCACTCTCTCAGCCGGACGCTGCTCAGTAACACCATTTGTGAGCAGTCTTCCTAAAAATTGATCCTGTAAAATGAAAGAACAAAATCGAGCGATTGTCAGAAATGTCGCAATATAAATACCTTTGGAAGCACTGGGGCACCGCTTGCCTAGCACACACGCAGCAGATCCTACAATGAATAATTAACCACGGAAGACTGTCTTCAAATCATGGGTTCGTTACCTATTCTATCCAGACGTTTTGCGAGAAGACTGATTTTCATCAGAAGCTCGGACGCATTAAGAGATCCACTGAACGTCACCTCATCATCCGAAAAATATAGTTCATATGTCAACAGGAAAAAAGCGAGTGTTGCAAAGACGAGGAGAAAGCAGCAGTGACTTCTATATTTACGCAACATTTTCGTATCCAACAAAGCAATGTAGAAAAAATAGAGCGGCAGGCTGCCCGGCGGGGAATATCAAGGGGGCTGGAATATGGCATGGTCAGTGCAAAAGAATACGTTATCCGCTATTCGAGCGCCATCTAGCAAAGTCCTGCTTCACCATCGCGCGTGTCATAGTAAACTCAAATTTTTTGACCCTCACCTCGGAATGGTAGAGATTCAGTGAAGAAGTAATGAAAACACAAGTATGTTAATCAAGTTTCCTATACCTCAGTCAGAAAGCTGCGCAATGAACCATCCGCACCATCATGTGAAGAAGAAGTTGTACTACGCACGTCACAGTTGTCCCCATGAGAGAGCTCCACGTTCTCAGAAGCACATTCCTGATCATTTTTCTTTAAATCTTAATTCATGGTCGTTGATTAAAAAGAAACCAACCATGCTCTTCTGTAACGCATTGAATAGAAAGTGACGGTCGCACAAAGAGTACTGGTCTTCGGGAACATGAGTTCGCGTATTGAAGCACCTCGAATGAGCTATTGACTGGAGGATTTCTATATTTACTTCTACATTTCTACATCCCACACTGGTGATCACAATTCGTAGACCTTTTTTAGCACCTCACGGGGTAAATAAAACTCTATTCTCAAAAAAGGATATCTTCCTTATTCGATGATTTTCTTGAAATTAGAACGACACAAACAGCAGTAGTAGGAAAAGAAAGGTACACTTTCAGTTTTCTGGAAAGTTAAAAACATTTACAAGTGGCGACTCACTCATAAACCCATTGTGGATCAACAAGAAAAGGTTTTTTTGGTAATGCGAAAGCACATCGCAAAATTGCTGCTCTTCCTCCAAAAGAAAACACCACATGAGTGGTGGTTCTGGTGAAACGTCGTGAGACGACGGCACCCATTCGACGAAGCCGAGAACGTACATCTTCAGTTGAATCTGCGCAGCAGCCCATTTCTACGATTATGCGACAGCCTAGTGTTTATTAAGATGAATTTGACAGGAAAAAGATGTAAACCGCGATGATAAATTCCGAAGTAGCACCAGTAAGTACTAACCGTTCAAAATACTGGAAAACGACTCCTGCGGATCACCAGCGATATCAGATGATTCTGCAATCGAGAAGAGCGAGCGCTTCATTTCACACTCGAGTGCGGCGAAAGCTCCTTCAGACGATGAGTCAAATGAGTCCCCAAGGCGAGTTGCACACAAAGACAGTGGACGCCTTTGAGCATCTGAAGTGGTCTGTATACAGAACATGGAATTTTCCCAATTGAATAGATAGCCAGCCCCGTATCAGGTGCCAAGCGTCCTCAATAGTGCGG